GTGCTGAAAACAGCTAAGCAAAGAGCAGGTATAATTCAACACACGTCTTTTTTTTTTTGAAGATTTTTATTTATCCATTTGAGAGAGAGAAAGAGACAGTGAGAGAGGGAACAGAAGCAGGGGGAGTGGGAGAGGGACAAGCAGGCCTCCTGCTGAGCAGGGAGCCCGATGCGGACCCTGGGATCATGACCTGAGCCGAAGGCAGACGTTTAACGACTGAGCCACCCAGGCGCCCCTCAACACATGTCTTTATGTTTATGACTAAGCCTCACCCTCGGTAGTGAGCTGACATGCACAGCACAATGTGTCACCGAGCGAGCAGCAAAGGGGAGCTACAAACAAGCAAAGGCCGATGGCAATTACAGGAGGCCACAGGGCAAAACAGAGGCAAGCTTGCCCCACGTGGGTCAGGTCGGGGGGTCAGAGAAGTTAAGCAAATGACAGTGTTCACATGTGTGTCTCAGAGCAACACCAAGCACACATTTCAGAGCTCCACCTGTCCGAAGAGGGAAAGAACTCTTCCACTGCTTCATTCGAAAATTCAAAGAACAAAGATACACATGCACGCAAACATTTCTGCCCATACGTATGTGGACATGTGCGTGCAGAGACACGTTCACATCCATCTGCACAGGTGTGTACATGTGTGTATATTTCAATGTGTGTGTCTTAGAAAATTGCATTTACCCACATCAGAGCCACACATTCACTGAGCCAGGCAAAGACAAAGCTGAAGCAAAGGACATTCTTACTTACTGTGTCCCACATCACGATGTATACATCTGTGCCAAATGAATTATTAACGTGCTGAGTAATATAAAGATTGATAAAGTCACAGAAGTGGTGATACATGTTAACACCTAGTATTGGAAAAAAGAAATCTATGTTAATTAACCCCAGAGAGCAAAGGATTCAGCAATTTTTATTCTACCCCACCTATTTATGGTGTGATAGACTTTTAGCTGAAAATAATTGGGAGAAAAAAAAATAAGAGTTTTCTCCAAACACAAAAGGATCTGTACTCAGGTAGTCCTCAATTAACAGATGATTGGGTTCAAAAATTCACTTTAAAATTGCCTATTTAGAAATCAGGAATGCATTATCCCATATATACTAAATAACAAATGATCAGTAAATTCCAAGAAAAAAATATTAGAAGTCTATTTAGCTCAAAATGGGGTAGAACTATAAGGCCATGAAAACTAAGTTTATTTTTTATGATCACTTACTTTTAAAAATCAATTAAGCAATATCGATTTATCACAGAAGTATCAACAATGACGGCACTATTAATATTTTGGTATTTTTCATTTCTGTCTTTTTTTTTCCTTTTTCATCGTGATTTATAGCATTGCTTCTTGGGAAAATATTAACCAACTATCATTTAAAAGGGCTCAGTGTCTCATGTTCTCATTGAAAGAGGATGAACTTTGGAGTCAGAAGAACCGGGCTGAATACAGCTCAGCCATTCATGAGCAACATTTTCAGATGAGCTGGTAACGTTCCTAAGCTTTAGCTTCTCTATGAGAAATAGGAAATCCTTATACTTAGGTGGCAGCTTTGTTAGGAGACACCCAAAGGTCTTGTACCTCAAAGCACCCAGCACCACACATGGCACACAGTGAAATTGTAATGAAGACTACCCGGGTCCTGCTGGGTCAAATAGGGGGAAGGGGAGATATGGGTACAGCTATTTCTAAGGTGGTTAAGTCCATCATTCCAAAGAAACCGAACATGCCTTCTTCTGACATAGGTACCCAGGACCCATTGTCCAACCTGGCAATGTGCAAATCTAAACGGCGTGAAATTCCAAGAACTGACATGTGACACATGCACTTTAAAAGGACAGAAAATCTTGACTGAACGAAAAACAGTGACTCTCAAAAGCAGAAATCACAACATATCATGACTTCACTCCCACAGTGAATAATAACGTTGTGTGCCTGAAAATAAGAGTAAAAAATCTTCAGTTTATGTCAGCCAGGTCATTATGCTGTATACCCTCAAGTTATACAGGGCTGCAGGTCAATTATGTCTCAATGGAACAGAAAGAAAAAAGAGAAAATCGTTTTTAGAGAGGAATATTTGGAGACAACTCCTTTCATCCTTCGGAACCATTTGGTAAAGAGCAAATTTTCAAATTAATGACAAAAAGACAGTTCTGTGACAACACATCCGTATTTCCAGGTGAGCGCACGGCACACATGAGCTCCCTCGTGGGTCATCCAGCAAGTTTATAACACGGACTGGGGAATGCAGCTCAGACCCACGCTCAGTGGTGTAAGGAGGGAGAAAATGCAGCTTCCATGCTCGAGAAATATGCCCCCAATTGAGTCGTGTTCTATAAAACGCTCATTCTCTTTCGGTGAAGAGTCGATGTGGAAAGGGAAATGGGATGAGGGCGAAAGAAGAAGAAAGGAGAGTTTCGAATATAGGAAAGAAACCACCCGGGTCTGCGCTGGCCTATTATTCCCACTTCACACACTTTACTGCCTGCATACCAGCATCTATTTAAGAGCTCACAGACATCTACCTGAATAGATGCTTGGCCCCTTTTCAGTTTCCATATTTGAAAAATGAGTCAGGACCTCGCATGCAGCATTTTTACTCGCTCGTATTTCAAAAACCTCCACTTGTCAGGTTTCTGGACCTCATGCGTTGTTACATAAGAATTGCGGCTTCAGGAAGCAGAGCACATTAAAAATATAATCAATACATGACAGTGATTCTGAACTATTCGTGACAGAGGGCTCTCTATATTCTCCCCCACCCCACCCCAGGAGGTCCGGCGGGGGGTGCACGTGGATGTGGCTGAGTAAGCTTCATCTCTCAGGAGGAGACACGGAACTGCATGGCCCACGGCACTGCTCTCCAGGGCAACTGGCTCACCAAGTTTAAGCTGTGCTTGAGAGTTCAGAGTCACAAGCTCTAAGTGTAAATGGGAAAATAATTCTAAATTTAACTTTTCTTTTGTACCCCCCCTCCCCCCCCCGCCAAGAATATACAGCCCTGCTGACTTCCAGAGGAATTTTAGGTTCACTTCAGTCATGGAACCGATGGCAGGAAGTTTGCCAGAAGAACTCAGTGGGCATTCCTTCTCCACCCACAGTACACACACGGTTTTTACTTTTAAATTTTTTCTAGAGAAGCACAACACAAAAATCAAGTGATTAGAGAAACCAGGTGGGGTCAATTTAGTTACAGAAGGTGCCCATATATAGCTTTTTCTCTCATCTTTTGATTCTGAGTGAGTCATTTGATACAAATGTGCAGGTTCCCTCTAAAATACCAAAGGTAACATATAGTGGGAAGTTCAAACCAGCTCACATCTTCAGAGAAGAAAGCAAAACCCAAACCCACCACTTCATGTCACACAGCCTTCCAGAAAGTCACAGGAAATCACTATATACACATATCAAAAAAGGAACAAAGCCTCATTCACCAATAACTACATATCGGACAAATTTAACTTCCCACCTGCATCCAGTTTCATGAAGTAGGTTGGTTTTTCAATAACAACGTCACATTTAGCATCTTCTAGAGGTCTGAAGTTGAGCTGAGTATAGCTTTGCAGCTCAGCAAACCTGCAATAATGAATTGGAAGACATTTCAAGGGGGTCCTCCTGAACTTTCGACGGCAACACTGTAACTTAGGATCTGCTCATTACGGGGATTTTCTTTCTGGAATATGATCTTATGAAGACATGTGGAACTTCTCAAACATACTAACATTTCTATAACTTGATACCAAATTTTAATGCTGAGACAAGGAACAAAAATGACTTCAAATTTCAGCCTCATGTGCAAGATAAACTTGGAATTTTCTAGACAAAGAAGAAATTTACACATAGAATTGGCTAAATAATCTACCAGTAAAGTGGGAAGATTCAAGAAGGCTTCCTGGGATCTTGTGATAGAGTTCTTGGATGCCTAGACAGATGACGTTCCAAAAATTATTGAGTGCCTTGGAAAGACAGCATACAGCTAAGCTTCCCAGAAGAAAGTTAAGTCTTTTCCTCAGAAAATGTCTTTGGAGACCACATGGCAGTTTTCTTCCATATAAAAGAAGATAATCAAAAGCATGTGCCAAGAGATATTTAGAGTTAACCTAAAGACTGTAACTCTTCACCTTTGAGACCACAACTGATGTAAAACAAATATCAAACAAATCCTTTTAAAATACACACAATGCTGAATTATTGTGGTGGTTTCAAAATAATGTCCACAAATTCTTTGATACTTCTCCCTTCAAGAGGTAGAGATTAATTCCCTCCCCTTAAGGGTGGACTGGACTTAGTGATTCACTTCTAATGAACAGAATATGGCAGAAATGATGGTGTGTGATGTCTGAGATTAGGGTATACGAAGACTGAAGCCTCCATCCTAGGGTACCTGCTTGGTCTCTTGCATGCATGCTTGTGTGCTCTCTCTCATTCTCTCTCTCTCTCTCTCTCTCTCCGGGAAGCCATGCTGTAAGGAGCACTAATGGAGAGGCCCATGTGGCAAAAAGATGGTACCTCTAGCCAACAGCCAGAGACAAACTGAGTGAGCCTAGAAGCAGAATCTCCAGGCCGGGTTGAGTCTAGAGATGGCTACAGCCCTTGTCAATAGCTGCTCCTGAGCCAGAAACACTCAGCTACACTCCTCCAAATCCTGACCATCAGAAACTTTGTGAGCTAATGAAGTGTGTTGTCTTAAGCTGTTAAATTTTGGAGTAATTTGTTATCAAACAGATAATGAAAAAAATCTACCCTAGGTTATATTTTGGAGTAATTTGTTACATGGCAATAAATCACTAATATAAATACACCTTAGAGAACTTCCACCATGTGGAATCAGTTATCAAAATGTACTAGGAATCAAAAGGTCCACTAGAATGGAAGAACTCCTACTGCAGAACTCTATTAAGTGTTAAAAAGAAATGAAAGGCCCAAAATGGAGTCACTTATGCTAAGCGCACGTCACCAAACCAAGGCTTAATGCCTACCCTAAGTACAGTTCCAGCCTTCTCTAGGAATGTAGTCTTAACCAGCCAGTCTACAATTTTCTGGTCAGCACCAACAAGGTCATCTACCACACAGACCCTCCCTATCCCCATTGGAAGATGAGGTGATCTCCTTTCCTTGTCCCTGTCCCCTTCTGCCAAAAGCCTTCCATTTTGTACAGCTCCTTGGAGCTCCTCCCTGTTTGCTAGATGGGATGCTGCTCAATTTGTGAATTGTTGAATAGAGCCAGCTAGATCTTCAAAGTTACTCAGCTGAATTTTGATTTTTTAACATAAGTTAGAGATGTTACAGTGTAGACTGTAAAACGCCATACAAATGAATGGTAGAACATTATCCTGAAGGATATGCATAGCAGAACGTTTGACCTCAACAATTAACATTAAATAAGAGTATCCTATGTGACCTGTGATATTGTCATTTATAATAAGATATATAGATATTCAGTGTTCTTTCCCATTTCCCCACACAGAGTTCCTGAAAGCCTTGGAATTTCCAAGTGATAAGAGCCAGAAAGGTGTCTTTTGTTATGCTAACAAGGTACTTTTGACCTCCCTAAGATTGGGGGCTGGTTGCCGGGAGAACTAATCGTGTGATTAGAGGGTTGGAGCTTTCAGTCCCATCCCACACCTGAGGGGAATAAAAAGGGGCTGGAGTTTGAATCAATTGCCAATGTCCAATAATTTTATCAATCATGCCTATGTAATGAAGCCTCCATAAAAACCGAAGAGGAGAGGAGCGGCTCAGAGGGCTTCTGAGTTGGAGAAGACATGGAGATACAGGCACAGTCGGGTGCCAGGAGAGGGCATGGAAGCTCTGTCCCCTTTCCCCGAACCTTGTGCTAGGCATCTCTTCCAACTGGCTGTTCCTGAGCTATATCCTTCTATAATATAATATTCTATGATATAATAATATAACTGGTAGACTCATAAGTAAAATGTATCTCAAAGTTATTTGAGCCGCTCTAGCAAATGAATCTAACCCAATCTACAGCGGATCGGTCAGAAGCCCAGGTGATGACCTGGGCTTGCAACTGGGGTCTAAATTCTGGGACTGAGCCCTTAACCTGTGGGATCTGATGCTGCTTCCAGGTAGATGGTGTCAGAATTGAGTTGAACTGTAAGACATCTAGCTGTTGGAGAATTGCCTGGTGGTGTGTGGAAAACCTGACACACAAGTTGGAATTGAGTGCTCAGCTTCGAATAAAGGGGCAGCATGAGAGTTTCTTTGGGATGACAGAACAGTTCTATATCCTGATTGTGGTAGTAGTTGCATGCATGTGGACATGTGATATAAATTTCATAGAACTATGTATCCAAGATTAAAAAAAAATAGAAAAGAGTGCATATAAACACTGGCGAAATTCAAATGTGTTTAGTTAATGATATTGTACCAATGACAATTTCCTGGTTTTGACCATTGTGCTACGGTTACGTAAGCTGTCATCATTAGAGGAAGCTGGGGGAAGGGTACAAGGGGAACTCTTTGTATTATTTCTAAACTTCTGTAAGCCTAAAATTATTTTAAAATAAAAAGTTTTTTAAAGTACCCTAATTTCTTAATTTCTAGAGATAACAAAAATCAGACCACAGAGCTAGTTTATTATTAAAAATGTTTTAAATCAAAATGTGTTCTCCAATTTATATAAAGTTCCAAAAGCTGATCAGAGGTGTTGAAAGTCAGGGCAGGGTTTACAACTTTGAAAAGGAGCCTGGGGTGCTGGTTAGAGCCCAACGCGAGGCTGGATCCCAGGACCCTGAGGTCATGACCTGAGCCGAAGGCAGACACTTAACCAACTGAGCCACCCAGGCGCCCCTAAATGTGTATCCCTTTTAAACACGTGTTTCTCAAACACATGTACAGTTACAAGGAGTCAATAAAAACTCATTTTTGAACAGGTTTTTTTCTTTCATTAGCAATCAGTAAATCCTATATCACACTTCCTCATATTTTATAAACATATATTTAATTCAAATGAAACTGATAGATTCACTCTGTAGCCATCACTCCCTCGAAGCTCATGCCAAATTCTCCACAAATGAAGTAACATTTTCCATTCAAAAGTCCCTTCCAATGTGCCAGAAACAAAAGCAAATATTTTAGAAACATATTTTTAAAAAAATAATCTTACCAAGACTGCAGAGGGCTTTTGCGCTGACCTTGAGACATCAATGTCCGAGTGTCCAGTGTGCAGTGTCCTCCGATTTCACCACTCTGTAGAAAATCTTCCTTAAATCTGGTGGATGACCAAAAATTAAGCTGAGTTTGAAAAATTTTATCACTATGTAAGCACATGGGATGTAACTAAGGTGGTTTACCACTTTCCAAAATCAGTGTGTTGGTAGAATTTCACTCTATTATAAGAGAATGTTTCAAATATACACAAAAGTAGCAGAGTGGGACAGAAATCCGATGGACCAAGAATCCAGCTTTTCAGTGATCAACCTGTGGCCTGACTACATCTTTCATGCTCCACCCATTTCCCAACCTCATCGCCATATTATTATGAAGCAAATCCAAGGCATATCCCTGGACCTGGAAATATTTCAGAATCTCCATTAGGTTTTAACATCAACTACTTCCGTACCTGTCATGGTTTCTCTTGATGTTTCTTAAATCAAGATAGAGATTGGATGCTCTGCAGTACTGAAGATAACGGGAACACACCAGGCTTGAGTCATGCTGATTGAGTTTGAGAAAAAAGAAAAAATTAACTCCAGGTACTAACATTTTGAGGACATTCTCAGACTTGCCAGACAAGTTCACAGCATGTGCACCTTCAGGTTGCAACCGCACAATATGAGAACAGCTTCTTTTTTAAAACATTTTTATTTAAATTCAATTAATTAACATACAATGTATTAGTTTCAGAGGTAGAGTTCAGTGATTCATCAGAATAGCTTCTGAAAAGCTGCTTCTGTGGATGGATTTTTCCCCTCCCCAGCAGACTCTGGTCAAGCCTAATTTTGCCTGTGTGCATGAATACTTTTAGGTTACTATGAAGAACTCCCAAATGTTCTATTTATATCATCTCAAACTTTACGGCTTTATGTGTGGTTCAGTTCAGTCCTCTTAAAAAAAAAAAAAAAAAAGCACTCAGAGCCATCACTAACCCTGTAGCTATGCGAAAAAGCATTTTTCAAAGCCAAGCCAAATGAAACAAAGAAGAATGAATGCACACGTTAAGAGACATTAAAACGAAGGCTGGAAGGGCACTTTGCTAATTTTATTTTTTTTTCAAAAGATTTTATTTATTTATTCATGAGAGACAGAGAGAGAGAGAGAAGCAGGCTTCCTGATGAGCAGGGAGCCCGATGCGGGACTTGATCCCAGGACCCTGGGATCACGACCTGAGCTGAAGGCAGATGCTCAACCATCTGAGCCACCCAGGCGCCTGGTAATTTTAATAAGACGTGCTTTCTACAAACCATAAAGCTTCCGGGAGTCCCTGTCTCAACAGCAGTAAGAGGGCAATGTTTTTTAAATCACTGAAATAAAAGAGCTTACGAGTCAACTACCAGAGCCCGCTTCTCTTTTTTCCAGTCTAGTTTGTTCCGAAATAGGGATGGTTTCAAAAACTTTTATCCACTCTGGATTTTATTTATAGATTTAAATGCCATTTTATTGTTTTCCCATAATTCCCAATGAACACAAGGCCTTCACCTTAACCCATATGGGGTTTTGAAATCGGTAGTTGGTAAGGGATTAGGCTCTGATTGCACAAAATCTATTAAGGTAGATCTTGGCCAGGGAAGATTCTACATACTGCCTTGGACGAGGTGTGTGGGGTGGGGTTGTGGCTCTCCCCTTGCCCCTTCCACATCAACAGGCGGACTCCAGCCAGACTATGCGACACACACAAAAAAGTGTATGTTAAGGGTACCCGGCAGCAGTGTGGCTAAAGTCCTGCCTCCCTCCTTTAGGGTTCATCCATCTCCCTAGAATTGCTTCAAGTTCTATTACGTGATATCGCCAAAAGCACTATCGAGTGGGCGCCTGGTGGCTCAGTCGGTTAAGTATCTGCCTTCAGCTCAGGTCATGATCACAGGGTCCTGGGATCCAGGCTGGCATCAGGCTCCCTGCTCAGTGGGGAGGCTGCTTCTCTCTCTGCCCCCCTCTCCGCTCATTCTCTCTCTCACAAAAATAAGTAAAAATACTTTTTAAAAAGCGCTATAGAGCATACATTCAGTTTCTTAATTAAAGTAAATTAAGAAAAAAAATTGTTTTTAATTTTCTAGATTGCCTGGAGATAATAGAGACCCCTGAGATGTTCAAGAACACTGACAGATATGAGACCTTAATAGTAAATGCTTACACCCCCATGGACCTTTAAAAACTAACACTGAGCTCTTTGCTGGGAGCCCAGTCCTGCACTGAGCATTTTTTTTTTTAAGATTTTATTTATTTATTTGACACAGAGAGACAGCGAGAGAGGGAACACAAGCAGGGGGAGAGCGGGAGAGGGAGAAGCAGGCCTCCCGCTGAGCAGGGGCTAGATCCCAGGACCCTGGGATCGTGATCTGAGCTGAAGGCAGACGCGCTTAACAACTGAGCCACCCAGGTGCCCCGCACTGAGCATTTTTATAAGCAGAGTGAGTATTTTTATAAGCTCATTTCTTCCCAGCCACAAGCTATGACATGGGCATAGCATGAAAGGAAAAGAAACTGAAACATGGAAAGGTTGAGTGCTCTAAGAATCAGGTTTTGAAACCTACAGTATGGATGGAGCCTGCTTTTCTCCTGACTACCCAAAACTGGCTCTTAGCAACGTGGTTGGCTTACCCACTGAGCGCAATGCACTAGGGTTGAAAGCACACAGAAAAAGATCTGTATTCCAATTCTAGATGGACGAGTCTACCTAGGAGCTGTGTGCTCCTGGAGAAGTCACTTCACCCTTCTGAGGACCCTGTTTTCCTCTGTGGTCAAGTCGCATCAGTTAATACCTACCCTGTCTATCTGCTGTAGGGCTAGCGAACATAGAGAAAAGCTTTTTGCAAACTGTAAAGTCCTAAACAAACATAGAGCAGTCTGGGGCCGGGGGGGGGAGGGTGTATCCTCTGTCCTAAACTCCTTGTGAGGGAATTTGGAAAGATGCAGTTTATCAATTTATCTTCTTTAGCATAATGTTGGGGGCAGGGAAATTCTAAACCTAGTAATATTTTAACTGCCTCAAAATAGGACTATCTGATATATGTGTGAAAATGATGACAGGGCTTCCAAACGAAACAGAATGACTTGTTTTAGGAAGTTAAATAAAAGTCACAGCCAATAAACACTTGAGTAAGGATCCCTCTACCAGAGCCATATATCTTGTTTTTACAGGACAATCTAAACATTAGGAGTATCTAAAAAGAAACACTCACAGTTTCCTTAGGCTGGCAGAGCACATGCAGTTCCTCCAGACGCTCTCCCGCATATCCAAAGTCAGCTTGTTTCCAGAATATGTCCTGGGCGGATTCAAGGGTATCTGTCCTATTTGCAGTCAAAAAGATTCCATTAAAAAAAGGGGGGGGGGGCGGCTGGGTGGCTCAGTCGTTAAGCGTCTGCCTTCTGCTCAGGTCATGATCCCAGAGTCCTGTGATGGAGCCCCGCATCGGGCTCCCTGCTCAGCGGGAAGCGTGCTTCTCCCTCTCCCACTCCCCCTGCTTGTGTTCCCTCTCTCCCTGTCTCTCTTTGTCAAACAAATAAAATCTTTCAAAAAAAAAAAAAAGATTCCATGATTTTTCTCTTTTTACCTTTTCTGAGCCTTGAGTTTCCTTTCTCTCTCCCTGTGTCTCTCTTTGTCAAACAAATAAAATCTTTCAAAAAAAAAAAAAGATTCCATGATTTTTCTCTTTTTACCTTTTCTGAGCCTTGAGTTTCCTTTCTAAAGGTTAAATTGCCAGCAGTCTGTCATTAAGTTTTTTAACCATCATAATCTTCTTGCAACTCCCTTGCTACAAGAAGATACCAAAATAAGTTATTCACAGACTTTCTTTCTTTCTTATATTAAGAATATACAACAGAAATGTATGAAGTTAGGGTCATCTGGAACTGAAGAAAATGAGAGAAAATGAGCTACTAATTACCATATTTTCTTTACTCCACTAACCTTGCATGTCTTGTATTGGAAATACTAATTACACTTCACACTCCCCTCCGGAATCAAGAGGAAACCATCGAGTTATCTTTTTAGTGTTTGTTGGGGGGAAATACTTTCTGGTGATCCATACTGCTTTCTCTCTCTGGCAGAGGAAGAACTGATATTCCTGTACATGGTGGCAGGAGGGTGAGGAGGTAAGTCAACTTGAATCCATGACTGTGTAAGCAAATTAATATCTAAAGGAATTGCTATCTAAAACCAAAAGAATCCGGGTGGGTGGTGGAGCATCAGCATACAGGACAAAGAAAGATGATTTAGAGGGAAGGAGGATTCCGTCTGGAAGCTTACCATCCCATGTCGACGTAGGTGCAGACAGGGTAACCAAATCTGAACTCTGGTTTGCAGGATTTCTCATAACCCCAGCAGTATTTTAGATTCTCTAAGTGTTTCTAGAACATAAAACGTGTACATTTACACTGGTCTCCCTCCTCTGACATTTAGAGAGGACTCTTCAGATTTTCCCATGAAGAAAACAAATCTTCATAGAACTTTCACTTTCAGATCTTATAATACATATTCATATAATAAAAGGAATTAGAATAAATCCTAAGAACAACAGTCTCCAAGTTCTCAACCACAATGATCCTTAATCATCACTCCCCCACCACCACGTCTGGGCCCCAACCAAAAGCACAGGCTTTCCCTACACTACCAAAGAACACTTGAACTGGAATTTCCTGAAGGAGCTTAATGAAGCTGCCTTTCTCAGTGAGCAAAGTGATTCTAAAATCAGTCCCTAAAGAGTCACATAAAATGGGGCGCCTGGGTGGCTCAGTTGGTTGAGCGATGCCTTCGGCTCAGGTCATGATCCTGGAGTCCCAGGATCGAGTCCCACATCGGGCTCCCTGCTCAGTGGGCAGTCTGCTTCTCCCTCTGACCCTCCCCCCTCTCATGTACTCTCTCTCTCTCTCAAATAAATAAATAAAATCTTTAAAAAAAAAAAAGATCTTTTAAGAAAAAGTCACATAAAATGAAATTTCTATGATCAAAAGAATCACAGCAAAATTAAATGGATTAGCGTCTTTAGTCATTAATCAAGAGCAGCAGAAACACCACAAGACTGGACACAGCAGCAGCTGTTGGCCAAGGCCGCTCTTCTGCAAGGCCCAGGAGCAACAATGGTCTGATTCCCAGGTCTGCTTCTCCATATGCTTCCCGAGCCAGCACCATGGGAAAGGAAGTTTCTCACAAGGCCCAGCTTTGATCTCTGAGACCTCCTGAGACATCTTAATGGGCTCCAATTGGAGGCCTTTCCAACAACTCTAAAACAGAAGGACGGCCATAGTAACAGTCATAATTATGTGGAGACAGGGGCGGAGGTGTTATTACTGAAGTTAAATGCTAAGAGACCCTCTGAAGGGCAGTTAAAAAAAAAAAGAGGTGTGAAATTCTCTAGTGAGAATTATACATTCTTGTCCGGATAAAATCTAATTCCCTTTGTTTACAGAGTATACAAATAGTATTGGCTGACTATTTATTTTATGAGTGACTGAGATTTTAAATTTTAGTTGCGATTCAGATTTTAAATCTCACTCTTGTGAATGGGATATAATCTTAAGCAAAGTTTAGGCATTTAGAAGCACTAGACGAAATGCAAACGAAGTCTGACAGCTACCTTACAGAATGCTACCTTCAAGTTCAGGTGATAAAGCAGAACCAACATCCTTTTAAAAATAAATAAGAGAGGGGCACCTGGGTGGCTCAGTCGTTAAGCTCAGGTCATGATCCCAGGGTCGAGCCCCACACCCTGCTAGGCAGGAAGCCTGCTTCTCCCTCTCCCACTCCCCCTGCTTGTGTTCCCTCTCTCGCTGTGTCTCTCTCTGTCAAATAAATAAATAAAATCTTTAAAAATAAATAAATAAGAAAAACGAATACCTACCTTATAAGGACAATGTGAGTCTTTCTTACAAACCGTGGCAATATGCCTGTTATTGTGCAAAAAGAAGGGAATGTGCTCCTTGGGCAAGCGGATACTGGCATAGTTAAACAGAGGTTCGCCTGGAATGCCATCAGCCTTGGGAGGAGCCTCATCTTGGCCACTCAGTGAAACACCATGAAGCAATACTCCAAGGACAAGCAGCTTTAACATAGCAACCTCCAAACCTAGAGATCATATTGAAAAGGTTTTTGTTAAGACATATCCTTTAAAAGTCAAAGGGATCGAGGGCTCAGTATAATGACACGGCACCTTGCTACATCACTGAATAACACTCCTTTGTTCAACAAATATTTATTGTGCACCTGCTCTGCTCCAGGCACTGCATTAGGAGCTAGGTACACAGGGGGTGAACAAAACCAGGCCCTTGTTCTGACGGAGCTTATAACCTTTCTCAAACTTTCTCAGTCAAGAGCCAGGTAGTGAATATTTTTGTTTTTGGAGGCCATACAATCTCAGCGGCAACTACCCAACAGTACTTTTGCCATGAAAACAGCCACAGCCTATCCTAAAGAATGGGGGTGGCTGTGTTCTAATAAAACTTTATTTATAAAAATGGGGCAAAGGCCTTGATGTGACCGCAGTCACATATTACTGATGCCAGAAATAAAGTAGGTAATATGATAGGCAATATAACACAGTGGTTCAGAACATGAACTCAGAAGCTAGACCACCTGGGTTTGAAATCTAGCTACAGTTTCCTAGCTGTGCGATCTTGAGCTATTTAACCTCACTGTGCTTCAGCTTTTCTATCTGTAAAATGGAAATAATAATAAACCTTTGTCATAGGGCTATTGTGACTTAAATATTGGTAAAATATTTAGACGTACCTGGCACATTAAATGCTATACAAGCATTTATTGAGTAAATGTTTAAAGCCACATGGAATGGTGGGGTAAGGAAGAGATTGCTAAATATTATTTGAGCTGAGACCTGAATGATGAGGAGCAGGGAAATCATGCCAGGGAGAGAGAAGAAAAGAAAGTGCAATAGCTCTGAGCATATATGCATCTGCTGAATAAAAACTAATCATCATGGGGCGCCTGGGGGGGCTCAGTCAGTTAAGCATCTGAATCTTGATCTCAGCTCAGGTCTTGATCTCAGGGTCATGAGTTCAAGCCCCGAGTTGGGCTCCATGAGCCTACTAAAAAACAAACAAACAAAAAAAAACCCTAATAATCACAATCGTATACAGGTTCGTTCTATGCGCCAAGTACCTAGGATGCAGCAATGAACATGCAGTCTAAAACTCTTTACCCTTGTGAAGCTCACCTTCTAGTGGGTGTAATAACAAACTATGGTAATAGTAACTACAACTCAGAAAACTCGGAGACTGTGTCATTAATCTATCCCCATCTTGCCTTAGCAATGTGAAAAGAGACAATAACCATCATGGACCTTGCTGCATGTCTAACTCACCCCATAAGGATTAAACCTCATGGACTAGAATTCTACGTATCCCAGACAATAATTGTGCCATTCTTGGTTAACTTTAGTGAAATATTTTGCTCTATGAAAAAAAAAATGCTCTTCCCACCGAATGACAGGACCATATTACACATGTGCTACTCCCCAGCGAGATCTACAGTCACTGGAGCATGTTGGAAAAACCAGCTTTCAGAATCAGCCTTCACTGACTATGCCTAATGAAGATGGGGCCTTTAGAAACAAACTGCTATGTTCAGTCCAGCCTAAAGTCCCAAGGCCAAGGCTTCATAACAAAGAGTGTGGACACTGAAAAGGGATCTTTTTTCCCCTTTGGAGTGGTAAATATAGTGGCTTCTCTCTTTCGTGGCTCTGAAGAGTATATTGTTATCTGTTGGAAAGGTGATCTGAATTAATACTTTTAGTTAGGACTTTCATCCAACAGTGAGTTGACAGTGATTTTAGAAAAGTTAAAAATACGTATTAATACTATGGTGAGCGCTGTGAATTGTGTAAGACTGTTGAATCACAGATCTGTACCTCTGAAACAAATAATGCAATATATGTTAAGAAAAAAAAAAAAAAGATAGCAGGAGGGGAAGAATGAAGGGGGGTAAATCGGAGGGGGAGACGAACCATGAGAGACGATGGACTCTGAAAAACAAACTGAGGGTTCTAGAGGGGAGGGGGGTGGGGGGATGGGTTAGCCTGGTGATGGGTATTAAAGAGGGCACGTTCTGCGTGGAGCACTGGGTGTTATGCACAAACAATGAATCATGGAACACTATATCAAAAACTAATGATGTAATGTATGGTGATTAACATAACAATAAAAAATTAAAAAATATATATTAATAGTAACAGTTTACTTCTAATGGAATTATTTACCTCTTTAATTATCAGAACCACACAGAAGCTGTTGTGATGCTTCAGATATCAGAAATCTGTCAGAAATGAAACATATTACCTTAAAAGGATGCCAAAGTAGACTTTTATCATTCAGGTGATATTTTGGATTAAAGGAAATATTAAGAGAGAAAAAAAATTAATGAGATAGCCTCTAAGCACAAGGCCTGGCACTTAGCGAGACATTGTGTAAGCAAAAGGCCTGACTCATAGTGTGCTTTCCTTTCCTTAGTCAACATCAGACTGAGAAAAGCAAAGTTAAAGGTACCACTCTCAACACTGTCACTTAAACTAGATTCTAATGGTACGCAGAAGGATATGGTCCACTTTATACAGGCATCAACTGGTACAGGCCAAAGGGACACTCTGCAGATAAAACATTCCTAGAGGAAACAATGTTCCTGGTTCTCATCCTATTAATCCTACTCACTGAATCATACTGCTACTTGAGCTTTCCTATTTACTACTTACTTCAGCCTGACCATTCAACAGGCAGGGTGGCCTATTTTTCTGATTCATTCTTTCCAGTAATAAAGTCACTGTTATAACTAAGTCCTGACCTTCAGTTCTTCAAGTCCACTATCCTTGACTGAGCTCTGCCTAAAACTAAACCCACTGATCCAAGGAGAAGGAGTCACACTTAAGTCATGGGAAAAATCTGAAGTCTCGGCTCAAAGGGCACGTACCTACTTGCATAAGCTAGAAGGGGCGGCTGCTCAAGCATGAAAAGCGCAGCCCCGGGGCCTGGCAGAGAGCCGTTCTGGTGCGCAGTCCTCTTGCAAGGCCCCCCAAGGATGGGTGCGTGCACCTCTTCAGCAGATGGAAGCTTGAGCGCCGCGCTACTTTTCCTTCAGTACAAATCAACCGGCGCCTTCCTCTTCTGTATTCCTTCACCGGATTTCCTCGGGCCTAAAAGGTGGAGGAAGAAAAAAAAAAAGGAGCCTGAAAGATGATGAGAGACGAGAGAGCCCGAGGCGGACAGGGACCCCAGTGGGTGAGATGGGGCGTTGCTCCGTGACAGAGCTTGGGAAGTTTCAAGAAGACAGTGGACAAATGAAAAGTTGAACGCGTCTGAGACTCACAAGGACTCCTAAACGGCTCGCCCGCACTGGGGCCACGGGTTTCACGGTCGGTAGAGGCAGGGGGTCAGGAAGGGCTTGGCTGCCTGAGATGCCGAGGGGAGGTCCACCAGCTGTGTGCGGGAACGTCAGCCGGGGAAGCGGGGCGGGCGGGGGCGGCGGCCACAGCGCTTCCGCAGCCACCCCGCCGCGCTCGGGTTCTTCACCCCAGGCGCCGGCGGGGCTGCCTCGGGGTCGCCAGGTCCCCGCACTTCGCCCGCCACCCTGCACTGCACCCCCCCCACCTCCACCCAGTCCCCGGCGCCTGGGAAGGACCCGGGGGAGGGGCTTCGCCCAGGTCTGGCACACCGACCCACGTGGCACGGGAGGGGGAGAAGGGCATCCTTCGCCGTGGTCGGCGGGCTCCCGGGAGCCCCGCGCGCGCCGCTGCAGGCTCCGTGAAGGGGCCGAGCGCCCGCCTCCCCGGCCCGCAGGCGGTGGAAGGCGCGGGTGGAGTCCGCAGAGAGGCTGTAGCCCGCGGGGAAGGCGCGCGGGGAGCCCCGGCGGGAGAGGCGCGCGCAGTCCGGCCGCGGCGGCAGGGCGGCGGGTGAGGGCTCCGCGGATCGCCGAGCGAGTCCCACCTGGAGCCGGGGGAGCCAGGGCTGCGGAGGAGGAGGAGACAGCCGCTGCTCGGGAGCACGGAGTCGTCATAACCGGCTGCTGCGGCTCACCGGAAACCTCGGGCGCGGGAGCAGGGCCAGGGGGCGCCAGGGAGCCGCCGGGACTGCGAGGCAGCCTGCGCCGGGAGGCGGGCCCGAGCCCAGCCGTGGGGCGGCCGGGGGCAGGGGCGGGAGCCGGGGGCAGGGGCGGGAGCCGGGGGCAGGGGCGGGAGCCGGGGGCAGGGGCGGGAGCCGGGGGCAGGGGCGGGAGCCGGGGGCAGGGGCGGGAGCCGGGGGCAGGGGCGGGAGCCGGGGGCAGGGGCGGGAGCCGGGGGCAGGGGCGGGAGCCGGGGGCTGGGGCGGGAGCCGGCGCCCGGCGCTCACGGCCCGACGCGGGGCGGTCTGCTCCTGGTCGCGCTCCCCCCGCGGGCGGGCAGTGCGGGAGTCTGTGAGCCGGCCGCCTGAGCCGAGCCGGAGAAGGAAGCGGGGTCACCGGGCTGGCCTGGCCCCCTGGGGGGAAGGAGATAGGGCGCTTAGAGGACACTAGGACACCTGACTCTACTTCTCATCTTCACTCTGATTGCGTCGCACTGACGCGGCTGGTTACTGTTTTCTTAATCAGGACAGAAGTTGCCGCCCTAACTTCCCAATGTAGGGCGCGGACCAAGTGGGCAGCACTTTCTGGTGGTGGGGATTCTCTGGGGTCCTCGTACATTATACAGCAGTGTCCTTGCCCCTCTCCGTACTTACCCGAAAACTCGACAAGTTTAAATGCTGCTCTGCGTGAAGTTTTATCGTTGCATAATTTTATAATTATTTGAATTCCTTTGTAATTATTTTATCATAGTTATTTGAACGCCCGTCTCCTACACTGTCTTCAGTCTTGACACCCTTGGTTCTAGTATGCTATCTACTAAAGAGCATAGTAGAGTTGATCATTACGGATTCAACTTGAACTGATTAAAGGAAGGTTGATAACATCAAAATAAACTTATGCGCAGACACATAGAGGCACCACTATTAATATGATAATAAAGAAACAACAGTTTGTTTCCGAAGGCTTAAATGCTTTTTAAATGTTTAAGACTGTTAAGAGAAGTGTTAC